AGTAATCTGGAAACTCTTTGTTCCTGCCTTCACTGATGTGTTTTATGTCAAGAAATAAACCTTCACACGTAACATGACACTTAAAGTCTCCTTTTCATTTCTAGACGTGCTCGTCGACAGGACGTCAGGCACGGGGACCCGCTGAGTCAGTGTCACGACTTGGGAGATGGTAAAGAGCCGTCTCTTCCTCGGACTTGAACAAATTTGCTCGGGTACATTGCTCCCTCTAGTGTTGAGAATGAACGATACACCGAATTGTACAATTGCGCGGCACCGTTTTTTACAGGTCGAGGGGTGGTGGAGGAAAAGGTCATCTATGGGGTGGAGGGTAACGCCACCTTCTTGGAGTGCGTGCCGAGGTCCCAACAGACAACGATCAGGTGGAGGGTACAGTTTCCTTTAGCCCAAACCAGCAGGGATGTAAGTACCTAGTACAGTAATAATTGCATTGTATAGGCCTACAGAGACCGGGATTAGCAAACAATCGGGTGAAATTGTGCTTTGACCTGTGGGGCAAGTTTGTTTTTTATTATGATGTTATTTTTTTTTAATAACAAATAAATCCAATGGTACGCTTTCATTTTGTGTGAAAAACACAAACCAAATTAAGGTAACACGTTTATTGAACGCACAATCACGTCCTATGGTGCTTTGGCAAGGCTGCCACATAAAGATAGGTAAAATCGTAATAATCCTTGCGATGGACTGGCATCCTACCCAGAATGGCCCTCTTCATGCTCCATGCTCCCTGGGACAATCTCCAGGCTCTCCACAACCCTGTACTGGAAAAGCAGCTATAGACGATCGGTTGGCTGTAATATTCCCCATAAAAATAAACAAACGGTTATTTTTCAACCAGTCTAATGGTTTTTATCCCACAGAATGCAGTAAAGTGGGAAAAAACATTTATAAGTTTGCGGTTACGTGTGTGGCTAATTAAAATTTATCCCCAATAAAAGTTTTATTGAATAATTTTTTTTTCTTACTTTGCTTTGAGGAAATATAAACATAAACCAAATCCAATGCGGTATTGGCCTATTCTCAGAAAAGGCTTCAGCTGTCTCTCCAGCCAAACCACGTTATAGTTTCAACCCAGTAACTAGGCTACATGTTTACGGCCACTAACCAAGAGCATGGTAATAAGCTGGTTACAGGGTTGCCAAATCTCACGCATCTGGCGCGTGACACTTGTGCTTTCTGACGCTCACGTAAGAAATATGACGGCAAATCTACATTATTCCATCGTAGACCTGAAATAAGTTTATAATCTACGTTGAGGTAGTTTGCAAACTATATAGACTATTTGCAAGGTAATATTAAGTGTTACGTGCATATAAATGTGTGTGCATTTAAAATCTCACGCCAGTAACCAAAGCAACCCTGTGATTATTAGAATTAGAAATGAAAGCATGGTTTGAAAAAAGCTGGAATGACACCAAAAAACATAGAAGATTCCTTAGCCTCATTTGGTCCTTTTTGCAGCTTCTGCAGAGCGATGAGCGCGTCATGCACATGAAGCGCGGCGTCCTCCTTCAGCGCTTAGAGCCGGGAGACTCGGGCCTCTACACCTGCCTGGCCCAGGAACACTCCTTCACCAGCACGCTGGCCCGCTACAACCTGCGCGTCGTATCCCAGCAGCAAGTCGTGGCTGGCAGCGTTTGGGCCGCAGAGAGGCTTGGGGAGCCGGTGGCCGGCGCTGATGATGCAGATGTGCCGGGGAACCGCGCCGGGATCCATGTCTCACACGGACATCAGATGACCAAGAGCTACAAGGACTGGCACCTCATGGGCATGAGCGTGGACGAGTACTGCGAACAGATGTGGTACCGTGAGAAGCGCCGGAAGCTCCGCAATCTGAAGTGGAAGCAGGACGGTAAAAAGGCCAGAGTGCGACGGCAGAACCCGCCGCAGCCCTCACCGTGACACCGCACTGCAACGCTGGGATAAATTTAAACTGATTCTTTTTGCACAACACCCGACATGTTTGAGTGATTTGACTACATGCTTTTTACACAAACCATCCTCCGCAAATGGCTGGAAACCTTCTCAAACCTCAGCATTCAACATAAAGGGAATCCCTTTATATTCAACGCTTGCTTAATCCTAGGATGTTGATTGATCTTGCGGAGATCAATGTCTTATGTCGATGAAGAGCTTTAAGCGTATCTGTATGTATAACTGAAAAATTGCGTTTTCTCATTGAACGTAAAAAATGTAGGCTACGCTTTGACAAAGCGTCTCATGCTGCAATAAATTACAAAGCACTACTGTAACAGCGCGGTTATTCTTGCCATAGGCAAGAGTTGTGTGTTTTTTATTTCTGAGGTTTCAGATAGGCCTATTTAGAATCGGGAATGTCTGAAGGTTAAGCCATCGAAAAAGTTAATAAAGATACGTTCATCCCCTTTAGCAACGTTTAATACAGAAACTTTAGATTCAGATTGTTGACAGGTGCTGCGGTATCTAAGAAAAATGTTTGTTCTCCGTACCGGAAAGTGAGAGTAAACGGTTTTGATTCGCCTGCAGGTAATTAACCATGTACATTGTTTTCAACATGCAGTACAAAATACATAATCTTCCCTTGTATTTCCATGTTAAATAAAAATTTAATGTAAAAGACAAAAGCATAAATAGATTATAAATGTTTTAGATTAGAATTCGTGTAGCGCATTCATTTAGACAGGTAATACATTTAAGAAGATATGAACATCTGTGGTAGAATGTACTAGAAACTATTTACAGATATGGAAAAGGTAAAACATTGCTTTTCCCCACATACATATCAAGTTATTTATTGATGCCCTAGAGTATTTTCAAAAACTATGCTAGCTCAACTGACCAATTCTTTATGCGAACAGGAGAGTAGGCCTATATGCTGCTGAATGCAGTTCCACTCCAGACCACCTTCAAGGAAGCTAATGTAAATGATGACGAAGGTGGGTCACGTGATCTTGGACTTATTTAGTAAGGATGTATGTGCCCATGTTTAGTGAACAGTACAGTTCTGTTTCGCAGCGGCTGCTTCTGAGTTTAAACTGAGTATTCTGGGTAAAGTAAAGACGGGCTGAGTGGGCATATGTTCATCCACTGAGATGGCATTTCAAGGGCATTTATGTGTGATGCACATATTTACTCATAATCAGAAATCAAAACATTTTATGGAGGTGTCATTAAGCACTTGATATATAAATGTATATTTGTGGGTGTTTAAGCCTTATTCTAACAATACCGTTTTTTGAACATGACAATTTTTTTATTTTAACGGAGGGAGTGTTAATTATACAATTGCTTGTGATGTTCATATTTTTTTACACAATTTAACTGAGGTTGTTTGTTTTGAACAAATGTTTTTATTTTGTTACGCTAGAATAAAAAAAAATATGTAAACTTGAATTATACTACTGTGAGCTGGTGCTGTTAAAGTATAAGGGCTTCAAACTGCATGAGCGATACAGTATCAACGCGATAAGTAGGCGCATCTTATATTTACTATATTTAATTAACATTTCTGTGTATGCATACCATTTTTGGATGCCGTCAGATTCTATGTCAACACTAAAAAAATGAACTGCCCATTGTACCTGTCTGAATGACATATTTAGTATAGGTGTTTTTCAACAATAAATATTTTTTACATAAAAATAATTTATGAGTTAGATTTTCATTTACATTTTATTGATGAATTGGTGTACACTCGATGACAGTGAACATACATATATGAACTTTTAGGATAAAAGTGTATATTTTATGTATATTTTATTACTTACAAGCAGAGGTGGTACACAAACCCATTACTTGAGTCAAAGTATAGATATGCTTGGTCAAATATTACTCCAATACAAGTGAAAATTGTTCTGTCAAATTTAAAATTGAATTAAAGTACTGCAGTAGTTGATTTTTTAAATACTTAAGTATTCACAATTTCTTTTTAATGACAATGCATTGTATTGTTACCACAATCCATTTACAGAACCTATAATTACTCTGAAATGGCCTATTGAATGCCCTGACTTGCTTGTAGAACCTGTAGAATAAAATGCTTGCGGAGTATGTTGCAATTTCAATAGAAACATAATTGAACTGACAAAAGGATGGCAATTGTCATTTTCATTTTTTAATTTAAGATCCCCTGGTGGTGTGTGTGTGTGTGTGCACATTCATGCACATGCATGCATCAGGCAGACAGTGGAATTCCTGTAGATGCAACTTCCTCATAAAATAACAAACTAAATACAACAACCAACTCAGTCACACACCTCTGGCTTTATAACTGCCGAACAACAACTAGACTGACAGCACAGGAGTAGTTTACTGTAACTGGTTATTTTCCTGTGAGTAATGCAATATGACTTACCGCATTTTCGAAAATGCGTCCGCTGACTTCAAAGCTATGTTTCAAACTAATGATTAATGAGAACTTCATAGAAATTTAGTGGAGTAAAAACTACGATTTTTTGTGTATGTAGCGAAGTAAAAGTCACAAGTTTTTTTTTTTTTTTTATTGATACTCAAGTAAAATACTGATACTCAAAAAAATACTTAGGTACAGTACACAACTAATTGTACTTCGTTACTGTCCACCCCTGCTTAGTGCTTACAAAACTAATGGCAAATAAATAAAATGTACTCAGAATTGGATAAGGTCTCTTGGTGTGATTGTATATAGCAGAATATATCAGTAATATCTTCTTTGAACACAGCTCTGTGCTCTTATTAGTGATGCCCGATATCTGATGACTCGAGATTTCAGTGTGACAGTAAAGCAGAAAGTTGTTTTCTTTTTACCACAAATACTTTCATGGCACAAAACACTGGAGGGCTAAGGCAATGTCTTTGTTTCTCCGTGCATTAGCTCATTTACTTCGGTTGTGACTAATAAGCATACATTTAAATATATCGTATACTTCGCTTCACATATTTTTCAGCTGTGCCTGGGTTTATATTCCTGTAATCACTGTAAAACAGAAGAATGACCAGGGACTTCCTTGCGCTCAGAGAATGTTAGAAACTCTCTTACCCAGGAAACCATTGCTGACGTCATCAAAAGTAGACTGTAGTCGCCGGTTGTGACGTATTCAACGTGGTCGCCATAATAAACCTAGGTACATGGGTTAATCGAGCCTTGTGGTTTTACGAAGGTGGTGAAGTAACGAGCCGTGGTACAAAGATATATATCAACTTTTCAGTGATACTTATAAAATAGTCAGAGTCGGCTGCAAGACTGTGAGGAGAAAAACTGAGAAGTATTACGAGGTAAGACATTCGGGTGAAAGTGATTCGGTAAGAAGCCCCTCACTTGAATGGCAGAGTTCACGTTTGCAATAAACTATGGGTTGGTCATTTGCTGGAGGGTCGCCTGTAGCTGGATATTGACATTTCATGAGTACCGGTGCAGGGTTCTATTATCAGAAGAGGTCGGCAACTAAAAGCAGAGGACTGTAACCTAATCGTTTATTTGCCGGTAGCTGACAAGCTAGGAACCCCCAGTGTTTCCATACACGTGAGACGAATTAAAATCAGCGCCTGAAATATGACACACATTGCACAATTCGCACAGATCCTGCAGTTACACATAAAAACACTTCATCTTTTTTTTTAACAGATCCAATTACTTTTGATCTGAAGTGTACTGAGCCCTTTGCTCAAATGCGATTGAACTGCGCTGCCGGCGTGTAAAAAGCTCCACAGCGATCCGCTATTAGAAGCGTGACATCCAGGGGTCTCCAAGCCCGTGTCCACTTCGTCGTGCACATCAGTGTAACTTTCAGAGAAAACGACTTGTCGACCGGCTGTCCTTTTCTAAATGCTTCTTTTTCATCTGCATCTCTCTGTCAAAAGCGCACATGTGAGCGCCTGCGGAACTGACAGGCTTGTTAACCCTTCATAGACTAATCGAGCTGCAGTCAGGAATCGGCATATTAACGGTCCGCGTGTAAAATGACCTTTTCTTGCAATAATTATTGTTGCTTGTTTATCAGTGTATCATGTATTTGCAAGCTGGATGCTATTTTAATGATTAACTCGCGACCTTGAATTGGATAAACCCGAATATAATGTCGATGGGTGTGTGTCTTCTACATTTTGGCTTCACAATACATTTCCCGATAGTAAATGTTTGGTTTTTGTTTCACTTTTGCTTATAACGTTGAATTTATCTCGAATCTTTGAGTTCACATATTTTGACTTTTTTTTGTGAAGAATTTTTGGACCTTTTCTTAATTGTTTATTAATAATGCGGTAGTCTTTTAAAATATATTTGATTATACTATGGTTCCGGACCTTGAACTTGATTTTTCAGTTTGAATTTCACCGGGAGGATGTATACATAAGGACACAATTTAACTTGTCCTTTACGAAAAGCCAGCTGGTAGTTATAACATTTTAAGGTCATAATTGTTGTAATAAACTTTTATTTGTGGTGACATTTGTTTTGCAGAGTAAGATTTTATTAGTTATTAAGAATGAAGTTTTTATTTTATCTTGTACATGCTGACCTTTGGGAAAACGTGACATTTAAAAGTTCAAAGTTTTACCTCTTGCATGTAAACAAATTTACAGAACTTGATAAAATATATGTCCATTTTCACCTCTTAATAACGCAGATATCCAGTTTAAGTTGTTGCCAGCCGATTGAACATAAGAATTAATTGCTTCCCTGTAGGCTATTAGATCTTTTTTGGCACCAGGGCTGAGGCTATAATTAGGCTGAACGTGAGCAGGTGTGGCATGAAGAGGAAAAATCCTTTGCGAGATGTTTATCCTGTGAGCTGTTGTACTTCTGAAAGAGGGAAATCGGTGAAATACTGTGGATGCTTGCTAGTGTTGTTCAAATTATTTGAACATAAATGTATTTCCAAAAAATAAAGCCTGTTGGAAAACAAGTTGCCTGCTAGGTGTTTGTACCTTTCGAGACACATGGATCTATTCCCCCCAGAGGAAGAGACTTTAAGGAGCGATATTATGAGTGCTCTTGGGGGGGAGGAAGTCCTGGTTAGTTCAGGGTAATGAGGCATGTCTGTCCGGAGTCCCTTCATGCGCCATGAGTTTTGAGTACATGGCCCTTCAAGGCAGAGCCTGAACTTAAGCCTCCTACAGCAGCATTAAACCATGACGTCCATTAACTGCAGATGATGAATAGTGGCTTTAGGCGTAACTCTTTCTCGTGCTCATGCTGCCCTTCACAGGCAGGGCCATGGCTTCCCCGTCCCCGAGCGTGGACTCCAAGGCAGAGCTCTCCTCCTTGCTGGAGCAGTGGGAGCGGCAGCAGCAAGGCAGCACCTCGGAGCTGGTGTCCATCCTCGCCAAGTCAGTACACAACATGATGGGATGGTGTGGTCAATATGTGGGGTGTGGCCTGGTCCTGTATATGGGAGTGACCTGGCTCTGTATGGGTGTGGCCTATATGTGGGGTGTGGCCTATATGTGGGGTGTGGCCTGGCCCTGTATATGGGTGTGGCCTGGCTCTGTATGGGTGTGGCCTATATGTGGGGTGTGACCTGGCCCTGTATGGGTGTGACCTGGCTCTGTATGGGTGTGGCCTATATGTGGGGTNGGCTCTGTATGGGTGTGGCCTATATGTGGGGTGTGACCTGGCCCTGTATGGGTGTGACCTGGCTCTGTATGGGTGTGGCCTATATGTGGGGTGTGGTCTGGCTCTTTATGGGTGTGACCTGGCCCTGTATGGGTGTGACCTGGCCCTGTATGGGTGTGACCTGGCTCTGTATGGGTGTGGCCTATATGTGGGGTGTGGTCACATTGCAGCCACTGCTTCCCAATGCAGGTGTAGGTTTCAGTTTCTTGCTTTCTTAAAAGTAAAACTGCAGTCCCCAGTCAGCCTGTATGGCCCCCAGGCTGTTCCACATATTTCATATATTTCACCCCCATCATGTTGCATAAAAAACACCCCATGTTTCACTGGCATCTCAGCCAAGGTGTCCCCTGACTCATGTCCCTGGCTCCCTGTCCCTGGCTCCTGGCTCCCCACAGCCCTGTACTGGATATGCGGATGTGCAATGTAGATGGATTGATGGATGTTTAAAATAGTCTTATAAAACATTGATTTTTTTTTTCCTATTTTCCATGATGTATTAGAATTTCAGAACTGATTGAAGGAGAGACTGAGCAGTACCACAAGGCAGACCCTGATCCCTTTGATGACCGTCATCCAGGTGAAACTTTGCTCTCATTCCAAGGACAATAAGTTTATAGTGGGATCTTGTCTGTGTCCAGAAGGTTATTAGTTCAAATCCCATGGCTGGCAGAGTAATCATGTCACTCTTGGGCCATTTAGAAAGACCCTTTATCCTAAAAACTGCTCTAGCCGTACTCTTACCTCTCACAGGAGAGCAACATGTTATATGATCAAGGGATTCCTGTGTACCTGTGTTGGTGCTTGTACAAATGGCAAATAAATCATCATCAAAAAATCATTGTCATCAGTAATGGAGTGTTTCTCTATCTGCTTTGGTTCCCCCAGGCAGAGCAGACCCAGAGTGTATGCTGGGACATGTGCTCAAAATCCTGTTTAAGAACGACGACTTCACCAACGCGGTAAAGTTCCGCTCTGGCCTCCTCTTCCAATCCTTGTCTTTCTTTTGTTATCTGTAAGACCAACCTGGCAGACGACTGGGAGTCGAATTCAGTGTTGGTGAGCAGCTCTGTCATGACACATCTGCATCCCACACCCCTTGCAGCTTCTGAACACGTACGTGATGACCAGCAGGGAGGTCTCCCTCAACACTGCTGCCTGTCGCCTTCTGCAGAACATCATGCCGGGACTGGAGACAGCAGTGGTCTTCCAGGAGAAGGTGTAGCACTCTTTTGACGGCAGAAACCGCCTGACCTTTTTGTGAAATGACTGAAATGACAAACGATTTGGTCCTTGGCTACTTTAGACCCCACGCACTGTTTGGTAGTGTTTCACGCTTTGGGGGTCATGGGTTCGAATCTGGCCTGAACTCTGCACAGGTTGCTAGTCCAAGAATAGGGATGCCACCAGAGATTTTGGACCCCCCAACCTAGACCGAGCAAGTTCCATTCCTTCAAGGCCCCTTTCAACTGTCTCCCCCTTCACAACTTCCCTGTCCAAGAGCAAATAAATCACGTGAATCAGTGACTCTAAATTGCATTTAGTGTCTAAGACCTTGGAGTCCTGCCTTGATCCTCTTCTAGGTTTGGTAACTCAATAGGTTAGATATCCTGTGGTTATTAAAAATGAATTTATATATAGAGGGATGGAATTTTCATGACTTGGCTTTGCCGGTGTTGTCTTGCTAACTGCCCCCCCTCCCCCATGCTTCAGGAGGGTGTGGTGGAGAAGCTCTTTGAATGGGCCCAGGAGGCCGATTGTCCCCTGTGTATCTATGCCACGGGGCTGCTGGGCGGAGCCATGGAGAACCAGGACATCGCCGGCAACTACAGGGAGGAGAATTCACAGCTGGTCAGTGGACGCCCGTCCTGCGTTTGACGCTTGCTGTCCTGGGGGTGATGCTGGCTTTTCCCGCATCGAGGACACGCTGTCGGAATGGCATTGGGAACTGAAAGCCAGCCATGGCGACTCTATAGCTGCGTTCTCAGAGTAATTTGAAAAGACACCTTTCCTCTTTTATTGTCATGTTTTCATTTTATTTATTTTTTCCCTCAGGATGTCTGTGCGGTGTTTTGCACCGTCTGGATAAGTAAAACATTTAGAAATCCTATTTATTTTTTTTTGCCAAAGAGGAAATGTTTAAGTGCGGAAAGCTCCGGAATTGGATCTCTGCCACTGAGACCTTTGCTGTGGTCAAATAGGTTCAGTAAATATCTCTCTGGGCGCCTCTTAGTGGGCGGATCTGGTGGCGAATCGAAGGCTCCTGTTGTACATATACATTTCGGCTATGTATCTGATATATGCCCAAAGTGACTTACGGCAGGGCAGAGCTACAATTTGTGTGTACTACCTGGAATTTGAACTCACGACCTCTGCGCAGATTGCCGAGATACTCTACTTGTTGAGCTACGGAAGCTGAATTGCTCTCCTGACCTGGGAAATAGCTCAGATATATAAATGTGGTGGTGTGACCATGTACCTGCATCTGTTAGGTGTTCTCCATGTTTGCCTTGAGTGTTGCTGACAGGGCATATAAGGATGTGGGAACCACTGTTGTGTGAGCTCTGTTTCCTGCATGGCCCATTGGAGTGACGGACCGTCGCCCTCACAGGTGCCTTTTATGCTCCGGAGGCTGCGTGAGCTGCAGAGTGTCGAGGCGGACGGCTCCCCAGGGATCAGGAGAGCTGACCTGCAGGGTGAGCGCTCAGGAGCGACGGGCCAGGATTGTGGGGGCTCTGAGGATGCGGCTGGTCCCCTGGGAAGCTCTGCAGAGAGAGACCGGGAGGGAGAGGAGAGGGGGGAGGAAAGCCAGCCGGTGCCAGCCGAGAGCGGTGAACCATCGCTGCAGCTGGGCTTCACCCGCAAGGCCAGCAGCCGTGCGCATCCGTCTGTCAAACCGGCATCAGAGCCCCTGTACCAGGCGGCGCCAGAGACAGGAGAGCCGGACCGGAGGCGGGAAGTGGGCAGTCAGGCGCAGAAGAGGGTGGAGGGGGAAAACGGCAGGACGGCCAGACAGAAGCTGCGCTTGGCCCCCCCCGATCCGGAGCGGGCTGCCTGCGAGCTGTCCAATAGCAGCTGGAATGAGATGAGCCCTTGGGTCATCGGGACCAAATACCGCCTGGAACCTCTGACCCCAGCCATGGAACAGCGCCTCATCTTGCAATATCTCACCCCGCTGGGGGAGTACCAAGAGGTTGGCTATGTCTCCTCCCTCATCACCCCACCCCCGGTCAGTTTCCCCCCCACTCACCCCTCCATTGGTCTTTCCCACAGCTTTTGGGCGTTTTCATGCAGATGGGAGCCTGCGAACTGCTCATGCATTACATCGATCTCAAGCTGACCAACGACGTGCAGCTCACCTTTGAGGCGCTCAAGGTACCTCCTTACCCCAGGGGTCCAACATGGCTAAGACGTTCCACGCAGGGCGTCACACCCAAATACACTGCGCAGCACGGGAATGACACGTCGTCCTCTGCGGGGCGTCGATAAGCCCCCAGCTGTTCCTGTGCGTCCCTGATAGGCCTGCTGGGTTGGCGGAGATAAGCAGCCACCAGGGCGGCGCCCTGATCCTAACGCAGGTGTGTCTGTTCTCAGTACCTGGCCTCCCTGCTGCTGCACAAGAAATTCGCTGCCGAATTTGTGGCTCACGGTGGCGTGCAGAAGCTTCTGGAAATCCCACGGCCCTCCATAGCAGCCACCGGGGTGTCCCTGTGCCTCTACTACCTGGCCTACAACCAGGATGCCATGGAGAGGGTGAGAGAATCCCTGTGTGTGTATATGTGTGATGGTCCTCCACCTTCCCATCATCCTCCTGGCTTCTGCAAATAACAGCAGCCAAACGCACCACAGTACTCAAACTGACAGAAACAAAATGCCACCTCCGTTTTGTGAGTTATGAGGTCCCTTATAAGGGTGCGACATACCTGAAGGTTCCTTTAGATAACAAAAGGTTATTGCTGCTGAGATTCACCTCAAATCCAGTTCCTAACAAAGGATTCGAGGACAAAAAAACCCACTAAAACTGAAAGTATTATGTTTAAGCACCGTCCTTTTTGTTTCCGGACAGCTATGATTTTTACATTCTAATTGGTAGGTGATTTTATCCAAAGCAACCTACATTTTTAGCCGAGTAGCAGAACCAAATAGTCCCTGGAGTAATTGGCGGGGGGGTGTGTAAGGGCCTTGCGCAGGGGCCTTTTGGTGAATCCATTGTGCCATCCCTGGGATTTGAACTGGCGACCTTCCGTTCAAAGGCACAGCCACCTAGCCCTCTGAGCCGCACAGCGCCCCCTGGTGGTTTCACGTCGATGTTGGGGCTACCTGTGGGTGGATAGCCTGCCTCACTACCTCCCTCCGCAGGTGTGCATGCTGCCGCCCGCCGTGCTGGCCGGCGTGGTCTCCTACACGCTCTGGCTGCTGGAGTGCTCTCACGCCTCTGGCTCCTGCCACGCCACTATGTTCTTCTCCATCTCCTTCGCCTTCCGCGCCGTCCTCCAGCTCTTCGACCAGCAGGACGGCCTGCGGCGCCTCGTCAACCTGGTGGGGGCCCCCCCTCCTATTACACTTGTGATTTATTTTTTATGTTTTCAATTTTCATTTGAAATCCAGTTTAGTCTTAGTTGGATTTCATTGTTATTTTTAAGATATAGTTCTATTTAGTTTTTGCACATTTTAGTTTCAGTTGAAGTTTTAGTAATTTTATTTCCTGGGATTAACTAAAAGTTGTAGAGCTATGATCTACATGAATACACACTGCGCATATGTACTAATCCCCTCATAATGCATAAAGCATGTTGCAGTTATTATTAATGGGCAATAGAATTGAAAAATCTTTACTTTAGCGAAATAGTATTAAAAACAGTCATAGACAGTATTTGACATTTTGTTTTTATTTATTAGTTTTGGGACTATTTATAGTTTTCATTTAGTTGTACTTTGTTTTCATGTCTTTTATCTTTTATTATTGATATTTTATATCTGTTTCAGTTTGCCGCAATGTTTCGTTATAGTTTTTGTTATTGTCAGTGATGATCGCCCTGCCAGGCACCTGTCTGGCATTGCTGCGCCCGCTGTGTCACGGCGCCTTTCTCTCTGCTGCCTGACAGATCAGCACCCTGGAGATTCTCAATCTCGAGGAGCAAACGGCGCTGCTGAGCGACGACAAGATCTTCTCGAGCCGGCAGACGGCCAAGCACACCTGCATGGCCCTGCGCCGCTACTTCGAAGCTCACCTGGCCATTAAGGTGGAGCAGGTGAAGCAGTCCCTTCAGCGATCAGAGGGTGGCGCTCCAGTTCACACACAGCCGTATTTCAAGGTGGAGTGAATTGTGCCTTTTGGTCGATTTATAATCCGCTTTTGAAGGACTGCTGAACACACTATTCAGCGCTGTGGTGCTGTATACATGGTACTATTGCATTAATAATTAATACTGATAAATTCTGGAAATTTGTCCCCATGGTAACCTGTATGTTTCCCAGGCTTGCTCCTACACCCGCGAGCAGGTGGTGGAGATGATGGAGTTTCTGATCGAGTACGGCCCGGCGAGGCTCTACTGGGAGCCGGCCGAGGTCTTCCTCAAGCTCTCCTGCGTGCAGCTTCTGCTGCAGCTCATCTCCACGGCCTGCGACTGGAGGACGTACTACGGCAGGTAGGAGGCTCCGCCCCCTCTGATACCACGGCAGCATTTTTTTTTTCCATCCCTCTTTTATGGAAGGCAAGGAATCTGTCAGAGAAGTGTCTGAGGGGGTTATCTTTAACCTCAAGAACGCAAACGTTATGGGAAGCCTAGCCACGCTCTGGTACCCTGACATGCTGTCTCTGTGTGTGTGTCTATCTCTCTCTCTCTCTCTCTCTCCATTCCCTGGCTGAAGGAGTGACACGGTGCGTTACGCTTTGGACATCTTGGCCATTCTGACGCTGGTGCCCAAGGCACAGCTGCTGCTGGCTGAGCCTGTGGACGTGCTGGACGAAGGCGGCTCTGTCGTCTGCACCGTGGGTCAGTCTTCATGGCAGCGTGGTCAGGGGTTGGGGGGGGGGGGTGGAATATGGTTTGGCCAGCCCATTTGTTTTAAAGTTTTCCGGACCCCAGCCATATCCATGTGTGACCCTGTGTAAAATTTAATGTTAAAAGTTTTTAATTTCTTAAAAGTTCTTTATGCCATCATAAGGTGATTCCCTGTCATTATTCTGTGTGGTTCTGGTTTTTGAGTTTACGCCCCCAATCCGGTGACTGGGCCGGGTTCTGGCGGGTCTCCCATCTCTGTCTCCCTGGGCTTGATTCCGCAGGGATGAGCATCATCCTGGGTGTGGCAGAGGGCGAGGTCTTCCTAAACGATGCCGAGATCCAGAAGTCGGCGCTGCAGGTGGTGATAAACTGCGTGTGTGCCCCCGACAAGCGGCCACCCGCCATTGGCAAGTTCCCCAACGCGACCCCAAGGCGTCGCCTGCCTCAGGCTCCCCGTGGCGGGGGAGGAACAGGAACAGGAGGAGGAGACAGTGTCCTGGCTCGCATGTGGAACGTGGTGCAGGCTAACAATGGCATCAAGGTGCTGCTGTCGCTGTTGACGGTCAAGGCGCCCATTACGGACGCGGACCAGATTCGTGCGCTGGCATGCCGGGCGCTGGTGGGACTGTCTCGCAGCAGCGCTGTCCGGCAGATTGTGGGCAAGCTGCCGCTGTTTGGTGGCGGCCAGATCCAGCAGTTGATGAAGGAGCCCGTGTTGCAGGACAAGCGTGGTGAGCATGTGCGCTTCTGCCGCTTCGCCACTGAGCTCATCGAACGCGTCTCCGGGAAGCCGCTACTGTGCGCTGCTGACGTCTCCCTGGCCCGGTTGCAGAGGGCCAGCGTGGTGGCCCAGACCCGCATCAGCTTCCCCGAGAAGGAGCTCCTGCTGCTTATCCGGAACCACCTGGTGGCCAAGGGTCTGCACTCCGCTGCCAGCACCCTCACCAGGGAGGCCGACCTTCCCATGACGCACCTCTCCCACTCCTCCTCTGCCTCCTCTTCTTTCCCGTTCTCCTCTGCCCCCATGGCATCCCTTGGCTCCCCCATGTCGGCCCTGCCTCGTACTCCACGGCTAGCCGCCGGGGTCGCCTCTCGTCTGGGTGGCCACGCCTCCTCGTCCCCAGGGCCTTCCCCCGGGCATATCCAGCTCCGTCCCTCCTCCTCCCCGATTTCTGTGACGACCCCTCCTCCTCCACCTCCCTCAGGCCCTCCGCCCCATGGCCCAACTCTGATCGGCCGCATCCTCTTTGCGCGTGAGCGCCCGCCCCCATGTGCTAGTGCCACAGCCGCCAAAAAACCCAGAGTCCTGCGGCAGAAATCGGACCATGGCGCTTTCAGCCAGAGCCCGGCGGTGAGGAAGCAGCTGGACCGCTGCCTTCCATCGCCACCGGCGCTGGACAGCATCATCACGGAGTACCTACGCGAGCAGCACTCCCGCTGCCGTAACCCGGTCACCACCTGCCCGCCGTTCTCCCTCTTTACCCCACACCAGTGCCCAGAGCCCAAGCAGCGGCGTCAGGCACCACCCAACTTCACATCCCGTCTCACCCGCCGTGCGGCCTTCCCAAGGTATGGCGGCGTGGATGGCGGCTGCTTCGACCGACACCTCATCTTCAGCAGGTACCATTGCTGCTTTGGATCTAGCTAGAATCCTGACATATCCATCACTGTCCAGTAGGTGGCAGCATGGAGCATTGTAACGAATTAAACAAATTCTCCATCGCCGTCGGAATAAATGCTAAATAATTTTTTTTAAGGGGATAAAATGAGCTTTGCTGTGATTATCTGCAGTGGGATTCTTTTTCCCACCGTCATGCCCATTGTGCATTTTTATATCACCTGGAGGCTGAGTAGGGAAGCTGTGTCATGTAGTCTTTTGACCCGTTCCTGTCTCCATCCCCACCCTTCCAGGTTCCGGCCCATCTCCGTTTTTCGGGAGGCTGAGGAGGATGAGAGTGGCTTCATGTGCTGCGCCTTCTCTGCCCGCGAGCGCTTCCTCATGCTGGGCACCTGTACAGGCCAGCTGAAGCTGTACAACATCTTCACGGGTCAGGAGGAGGCCAGTTACAGTTGCCACGGCTCGGCTATCATGCACATGGAGCCATCGCGGGTCAGCCGATTAACACACACACACACACACATACACACACACACAAAAGGTTGCTGGTTCAAGTCCCCCAAGAATCTGTGCTCTAGTTACCATTCAGAATCTTAATTCATTTTGAATTGCGGCAATGAAATATCTGGCTAATTGGCTGACACTGTCATTTAAGCATCTAAAATTAAGAAATCTGAAATCTGCACAATTGCGTAATTCTGGCTTTAGAAAACCTGACGTTAACTGTCATTTTAATTACGAAAGCAGCACCTTTGCTCTGCTACTGATTATACTATGCTATGGTTGATGTCGATTTGTTTGGTTTTGTACTTGGTTTAGCACACCTGAATCAAACAATCAAGCAATGAAGAACCCAGAATACCTGGTACATGTGTGTTAGGAGCTGGGTGGAAGCAAAAATGTGGACTGTCTGGGGGTCTCCGAGGACTTGTTGAGAAACACTGCTGTACGTGTCTGATAGTCCCCTCCCCTGTAGGACTTGGCGCTTCATTCCCCCATTGTTGGTCTTACTGCAGTCTTTCCCAATGTGGTCCTCAGGGACCCATAGTTGGTCATGTTTTTGCTCCCTGCCAGACAGCCCACATTTTTGGTCCCAGGGTCTAGGATGCAGCAAAAACATGGACTATCTGTGGGTCCAAACACTGGATTGCTGTGTTAATGCGAGTTGCAGCTGAAACGTGGCTGTTCAACCTCTGCCTTTAATTATCTCTTCTCCGCTCCCGTTTCAGGACGGCTCTCTGCTGCTGACGTCTGCCTCGTGGAGCTACCCGCTGTCGGCGCTGTGGAGCATGAAATCGGTCTTCATGATGAAGTATGCGGTACCTCTTGGGTCTGGCTCTCGGGCAGGGAGAAAGGGAGCACAAGGAAGGGGCTGACTGTCTCTTCCTGCCAGAGGGACTGTGTCCTCCCTTCAGAGAATCAGCTTTTCTCCTGTGCTGTTTCATTTTACTTATTTAAAACCAAAGCCCCTTTTATGTTGACAGATTTCTTCTTCTTTTTTGTTGTTTTGTAGTTCTGTAGCTTGTTCAGGAACAGACGCCAACTCGGGTAACTGAAACTCAGTTTTTCTCTCTCTCAGGCATTCGTTTTTAGATGATCATTACGTGGAATTCAGTAAACTCTCTCAGGACAGAGTCATCGGCACAAAGGAGCACATCGCTCACGTGAGTCATCATTTCTCAGGCCTTTTATTCATCTTTCTTCATCTTGTTTTCCACCTGAGAATCGGTAAGTCCAAATTTTTATGCTGCCAAAGAATCTTGCTTTTCTGCTGGGAGTAATTATGCAATATCTATGGTAGATCTACGACATCCAGACCGGGCAGAAGACCTTGACTCTCAATAATCCTGGTCTGGCAAACAACTACAAGCGTAACTGTGCGACCTTTAACCCCACGGATGACTTGGTGCTGAACGACGGCGTGATGTGGGATGTGCGCTCTGCACATGCCGTACACAAGTTCGACAAGTTCAACATGAATATCAGTGGCGTCTTTCACCCCAATGGGCTGGAGGTTATCATCAACACCGAGATTGTATCCTCCGCTAGCTTGTTTCGTGGGTGTGACCTCAGTATGTCTAAACCTTTCACTATTATAGTGGTATTTTCAATTCTGTTATGAAAGTCATGACAGGGTGTCCGCGGGATTTTAAAAAGTATTAAAAGGTAGTAAATCACATAAGCAAAAATTAGAGCCATTAAAAAGTATTAAAAGGTATTACACGCAAATTTACAAGGTATTAAGTTTTAGATTTAGATTTTTTTCATAGTCATCATGGGTAAGTGCAAATTTGCATGCAAGTGGTTAGAGGACCCGGCGTTTAAGGACTGGCTAAGGCCGGTAGCAGGAAAATATCGAGAGGGTTACTGATCGGTTTGCAAAAAAAACCCATAAATATCACCTGGATGGGGGTTAGCGCTCTCTGGTCGCATATGCGATGCACAACTCATAAATCAGGAATGCATGGATGAGAGCAGTTAGTCAACTGGTGCAAATCGACAAACTCATTGAAGAAAAAGCCAAACAATTACGGCACTTGCCATGAATAGCCTAGTGGATAAAGATATGGACTTGTGACTGAAGAAGTTAAATGCAAGATGTTTTCAAAATCACAGTCACTAAATTTATTCTGTTGACCCATGTTCCCTATTTAAATTCTGTTGTACAGGCCAAAATTGTGTAACATTATACATTTTTAAATCAGTTTGAAACTTGTTTAAAAACGGTTGCAACTCAGTGCCGTGCGGGTTTTAAAAAATATTGAGAAAGTATTAAAAAAGGTATTAGAAAGTGTTAAATTTAACCTCTGGATTTCTGTATATACCCTGCATGAGGAGTTTCTCACCTTAACATGAAATTCAGTGGGATTTACGCACTTACCATCTCCTACACACTGTTCCCGCCCTGGACCAGTGCAGGATAGTCTTCAACAACGATGGCACTGTCATATACGGAGGTGAGACCTGTCTTTTCCTCCATCTCCAAGGTTATTATTCTCTGTCGTCTGTTACTTCACAAAGTTCGTAAGTCTGATCTACTGAATGTAAAAAATTAATCTTACTGCTTAACTTTAAATCATTCAACCACATCCTTAGGGTGGCTTTCAAGCTGGAGTGAAATAATTTGGGTTTAAGAGAAGAAGGTTTCAGATTGGGATTTTGGGGTTAGAAATGTTAAGGTGACTATTAAGGTGAATGTTAAGTCAGGGGTCGACTTGGAAAGTAGATCTTATCCCCAGCTCAGCTTATGATAATGCCAAGTCCTGGACTTGGTCCTTAGTGGTTTTGTCTGTGTGGTTCTCTTGGAATTCTCTTGGTATCTTGGAGTAGTTTTCTGTGGTTTTTGGCTGCGGTCCCGGTGGCCTGCAGTATGCTTCGTTTACCCAACTGGCTAAGAAATTTCTTGGCTGAGGAGGCCATTAAAATCTGGCCTAATGGAGATGTCGTCTAGCATCCTCGTAGGCTTCAGCGGCCGCATAGTGCTGACGTCTGCTGCCGTTCGGTTTTCACAGCGATGCTGCAGGCGGACGACGAGGACGACGTGATGGGGCAGCAGATGAAGAGCCCCTTCGGGTCCTCCTTCAGGACCTTCGATGCCACAGACTACAAACCTATTGGTAGGGAATAACTCCCCGGGCGTTCAGCAGTGCTGGGCGATTCCATCTTGAGAATAAATAGCTAACAGTCAACATCATCTACACAGAAAAACAATAAACATTTTTTTACGTAGTAGACACTTTTTTGTAAAGTGACTTACAAAGGAAGGAAGTCTGGGGTCAGGTTAGAGGATTTAGGGTTAAGGGCCCAGCCTCAGTGGGAAAGTTACTCTTATGGGCTGGAATTTGAACCCACAACCTTTCTGACATGGGCAGAGATCCATCTTCTACTGATTACTTACTATGTACGCTGCCCTAATGGCCTCAGTGCAACACATTTCCAATGAGCCATCAACTCAAGAAAGCTCACAGCAAAGTAATGTTCACGTAAGAAAATATATGCAAGACTTATGGCAATAACAAAAACAGACATTTCCTCTCATTTCCACAATACAAATTACCATCGGAGTGCTTAATCTCAGCCTGTCGACAAGAATCGAGGATATTGACTTTGTCGGTTTGTTTTTCAGCGCTTGGGGCCATCAACCTTTCAAAAAACCAATCTTGTTTTCTGCTTTATATATAGCTACCATCGATGTGAAAAGAAACATTTTTGACCTCTGCACTGACACCAAGGATTGTTACCTGGCTGTAATTGAGGTAAAAGGAGCTCTGAGGCTGCCTGCTTTTTGGACGTTCTGGCTATAGTCCAGTATGGTCTCATCATGGCTGCATGTCTTGCAGATTGACTCATACTTTCACTTACCAAACGGGCTGAAGAACAATGCAGTCTATGTTCCATGTTTGCGCAGTTTAGTGGATTTGTCTTCAAGCGGCAGCTTTTATTTTGAATGTATTGGCTTAAAGTGTTGACTTTGCACATGCCTTGTATGGGTTGTTGTTTCATATTATATTTGAATGTGTTTACCTGCACTACAGAATCAGGATTCCATAAACATGGACACAGTGTGTCGACTCTACGAGGTTGGGAGGCAGCGGCTGGCTGAGGAAGAGGAGGATGAGGAAGATCAGGTCAATGAAGCAGGCTTGCAAGCTTGTCTTTTGATCTCCATGTTCTTGTTATGTGCTGTGTGATTTTAGGATTAACTAAAGCTTGGTCCCAGGCCAGATCTGGGATGTCTTAGATGTTATCGGTATAGTTGTTGTGGTATTGAAGGAATGCATCAAACACTTGTTTTTCTAGTCTTCAGCAACATGTTTAATCTTTATAGCTTCTGAAAACACAATTTTTTCGAATGGGACATGGCTATGCTTAAAGGTTTTTTTTATTATTAAAAGGAAGCTTAATTAACTATATAATGAAATAGCTGCCCACTAAATGGATTATAAGTAACATTGTGCAAGTGCATGTTGGCAGTATTAGGGGAGAATGACTTCCCTCCTTCAGTTTTGTATATTAATGTTCTCCCTTTTCGGCAGGAGGATGAGGATCAGGAGGAAGATGATGATGATGACGACGACGATTCAGACGACGACCTGGACGACATAGACACAGACCCGCTGCTGGCCGAACTGGAGAATGGCAACGGTGGAGATGAGGACGGCGAGCGTGACTTCTCGCTCTCGGATGACGAGCAGGTGAACCGTCTGCTGGGGGCCGACGGCGACGAGGGGGAAGAGGACGAGGAGGAAGAGGATGATGATTCTGACGATAATGACGAAGACGGAGATCTCCTCCTGGAGAACAGTAAGCGATTGGCCTTCTCAAACCCTTAGAGACAGCGTCTATGTTTGAATCCACAGCAATCGTGTCACACAGCCTTGTTCTTAAATCTCTAAATTTCGAATGGTTGGCATTTTCGATAATTTGCACCCCTGGGAATTCTGACTGGTCCTCCTCTCTCCTTAGCGGACAGCTCTGACAACTCGGACCTGGAGGATGACATCATCCTCTCTCTGAACGAGTGAAGACAGGTTGGTGGCGCTGCAGTGACGGCACGCCAAGGTCACGTTACCTGGCTGGAGGTGAATGCTGGAAGCTGTGTTGAAATACCGAGTGAGCAAGTGAAAGACACGGTCCTGCGGATGGATGCTCTCCTTTTTTTCTTATCTGCTCAAACGCAGTTAAGAAGGACTGCTGGACACTTGGTAGGAACCTGAAGCGGGCCTAATGACATCGTCTGTTACAGGAATTGGAAATGGATACACACGCAAACAGACTTTTCAAAATTCATTGACTCCAAGTGCACAAGCTTTTAACAAGGTGTTAAAAGATGAATCCCTTTTTAATTACATCAGAAATCGATGTGAATCATATTTTCTAGGATACGTGATGGCGGACAGTGTTTTTAAATGGGTAGCACCCCCGCTCCTTGCCTAGTTGGTGTTACCAAGGTGACCCCGTTACCCGGCCCAGATGAGGCTCTGTGGGCCGTGGATGGAGACCAGATCGTGGTCCGAGTCCAGGTATCCAAGCACCTCTGAAATTATGTATATCAGGGAAAGTGCGGAATCTTGCCTTTTCTTCGCCTTCCCTCCTCTGGTGCTTTTCTGGGTTTTCAGTGATCCTGCCATCCGTTTACCTCAGGAATGTGTCACGTGTAAATCAGAAGTGAACCGCTTAGCAACCAGAATCACCGTCTCCCTTTTTATTTTCTTTGGTTTGTGGGTGGGGGGAACTGCATTGCATCCTTTTGTGATTTGAAATATGTTCGCTGAAACTTTGTGTCCTGAACTTCCTGCTCCTGATGTGGGGGGTGGGGGGGGGGGGGGGGCGGAATCAGGAATTCCTGAGGCATGCAAAACTCCTGTGTTAAATTCTTATTTATTTGCTGTTTGTGTTGTTTTCCCAGCAGGGATGAAAAATGTGACAAGTGTCGCATCCCACAGATATGATCATTAGTATCAAAGTGATTTGGGAGCACTTACTCTGCCCCCCCTCTCGCCGCATTCATCTTGGGGAGGCCAGGCTCAAGGCTCTTTTTGGGTGCCTGAGATCCAAGAGACAGGAGTGGCTGTGTGGTCGACTCAGTACGTGTGTCTCTGTATGTGTCCGTATGTTGTGTTTTTTTTTTTTTTTTTTTTTTTTTAACATATCTAATTATAGGAATGGGCACCTTGCTGAAGACTGAAGATGGACAGATTAGGTTCTGTACCCAAGTGCTCCTCTGTGGCCTGTACTACGAAGCGGGGTTACTGGCTTATTGGGGTAACTTGTCGGATTTAAGGTACCACCATTTAAATGGACTTCATATTCGTTCACTTACATTTTGCCCAGACTACCTTAAATCCGACAAGTTACCCCAATAAGCCAGTAACCCTGCTTCGTAGTACAGGCCACTGGTCAGTTGGGATCTTGTTTTCCTGTGTGTGAGTGTGTGTGTCTGTTTCTAAAGGATATATACCTCTTTATATTGTGTGCTTACATTTTTTTTTTTTAAAAACTCCCCCAGAAAATGTATAGATTTGTATAATGGTCTATATAGAATGTATCAAATATTTTTTGCTATAAAGAATGAAATAAAAATATAACCATGAATATCGAAAGTGTGTTTCAGTGACTTAAGGTCCAACATTTCCATGAAATGAAAATTTGAATTTGGTGAAATTTAAAAGGATTCTCCTGAATTAGTAAAGACTCGAATGTGAACTGGAATAGCTGAAGTACTGAAATTTAATCTCTGTCCTCTGAGTGAGTCTGCCCAGGCTGAGCGATGGAATAAAATGTCGCTTCGCCTGCAAATTTCTGTATATTGAATATCAGCACTGGGTCTCCTTAAAAATCCAGAATAGTCGATACACCCAACGTGGCTGCAAAGTGGCCTGTTTCTTACATGTAAGAAGATACCGCAATATCTTATTTTTCCAAGAAAATCATCTCGAATGTTGTTTTTCTGTGTGTGTGTGTGTGTGTGTGTGTGTGTGTGTGTGTATAAATATATATGTATATGTTTTATTCTTGGTATACTTTTTATGGACTTCTTTTCCAATACAGTGTTTAAGACCCAGATTGATGATTTGTTTGTAATAGAAGGTCCTTCCATCTTTTAGGGGCTACTGTATATTCTTGTCTCTTCCAGTGAAGCCCACAATTCTCTGTACATGCATGTTGAGTATTGTTTTGTTTGGTTAGGCCAGAATCAAACTGCTATTGGCTCAGGGCTCAAATAATGTTCTGCGTTCTGGTTCTTAATATTAAGGACAAGAGCTACTTATGATGTGAAGCCGCCCACACAGCAAGCCTGCGTCAGAGAAACGCGACCCTATGAGTAGGAGTTTGAGAAGTCCTGCCTGTTAGGATCTGATAGGGGCTCTCGCCTGTTTTCTGTCTGGAATTGATACTATCTATATTCCCGAAAGTTGTACTGCAAGTGTCTCCTGGGGTGTAGCGGAGGCAGTGAGCTCTGAAGGTAGTTACCCCCAAACCCAGGGATGGAGATGGCTGGCTGAGCCCTGGGTCTGTTCCCTGGGTCTGTTCCCTGCTGCTGGATGGGTGGGAACCAGAATGAAAAGTCCAGAGTGACTGATGACTCGGGACAGTGTTTCTCCACCCAGTCCTCAGGGATCTTCAGGCAGTGGACTGAGAAACACAGAATTAGGATATGCTTCTTGTCCAAAATCATGTTGTAGGTCTCTGCTGCCCGTGATTGGCCGCTTTCCGTTGCTGTGGTGATAAGCATGTGGTGTGTTCGGTGTGGATTTAAGATCAGGCACTGCAGCTGCTCCATGCTTCAGGCTTCCCAGATGTCGTCACACGGCCGAACGATGCGTGAGGTGAACGAGTGCAATGCTAATAACCGTTTATTCTCTTCGCCCGCTGTGACATGTGACTTCTGCATCACCATGGTTACCCCACAGTCAAAGTGTCCATATAATAGCGGCAGAAAATTGCTTCATGTACCCTATAGCTGTTCCCAGAATTGTTTGTTTCTGACCTGTTGCCATAGAAGCCACCTCTCTAAAGAGCAGAGTTCCAGACATATATTACGGGCGAAAATATGCAGAAGATCTGGCTTACACGTCCTGTGTTGTGGCTCTCCGTAGTGCTTGTAGCCTTAACCAAGTCTCGGCGTTTGTGTCTCTGTGTCTGTGTCTGCAAACAAAAAAGAGAAGGAGGGAGAATTTGACCAAGAAGCAGCTGCATGCATATGCACACCGCCAAACCCTCAGATGTGGGTGAAATGAGAGCTCAATGCGCTGCCCCTAGTTCAAGCTTCTGTGCCAAAATCTCGGGGCTGTAGCTGATCCCATCCGCAGACCATTCTCAGCCTCCTTTTGAGTAACAGTCCTAAAACTGTACTGCCTTAATGAAAACGGAAACCTGCTTGGCCCTGTGTAGTTGAGACGATCAGGACTATATGATCAGGAGGTTGTTGGTTCAAATTCCGTGGCCAGTAAAGAGTTCATATTGCTTTTGGGTCCTTGAGCAAAGCCCTTAACTCTGAAATGTCCTCCAGTGGCACGAAAAGCGTCACGGTCTCCTGTTTGAGTCAAATGTGAAAGACTTGGTATGTAAAAACTAAAGAGTTCCTGCGTTCTTACACTTGAATGATGGTAAAAGGTGAAAGTAGTATGACGTGGACCCCACCTACTGCAAACTCACCGTTTCCTGGTGGGGATTTTATTTTACACATAGGCAGGGACGGATTATGGGTTGTGTGGGCCCCTGGGTAAAACGTTCGCGAGACAATAAGATACTCAAACCGCCCCCCCCCCCCTAACTGGAGTGAAAAATATTCAGGGGGGACAGCTTGAGAGAGGATTCCTTGTCGTCAAAAGAGAAAATAACAGTAATACGTTCAAACATTTCGGCCTTTTCTTTGTGTTTCTGTGTAATAGGAGTTAATTTGTTTCTGGTATTAGGCCATGAGTGCTGACCTTGCACCAGGGGTGTGCAGAGACAGACAGTCTGTAGGTGGTGACCTCTTGTGCCATTCATTAACCGCACTGTTACAGCGCTGCAGTGCGAAGAGCGACTGCAAGGAGGCGAGGACGGGATTCTAACGTGTTGGCATTTTCCGACCAGCGATGCAGAGTTACCGAAGCTGACGCTAGCTGATGCTAGTTGTTGAATGATGAGAGAAAGCAGCAGAGCGGTTTGTAGAGGTTAGCTGGAGGCTAGCCGAGAGATAATGCACACTCTGGATCACGCCGACGCCGGAGAGGCGTCCAGATGCTTCTCTCTCTCTCGCACAGAGCGACATCGGAGATTCTATTATCCTCCCTATTGTGTGACACAGGAACCCAATATTTCCGGTTAAGATTCTTGGCAAGCTGGGGCCTATACAGCTCAGCTGATTGGCCTCTGCTGGTGTGGGTCTGTGAACGGAGTCAGACGCGAGAAGCATTAAGATGCGAAGTCACGTTTTTCAATATCCACAGCCTACACTTATCAAAAAAATAGATCATACATTTTTTTTTTCAGTTTTCTTTCAGGGTTTTTGCTAATTCATATGACAGCTGATCGTTTTGGGTTTTCATGGAGAGAATATTAGAGGTTATATGAAGCTCTGTTCTGTCACGAGAGTCACATGAGGGAGCAAAAAACAGGGTAAGTGTAGGAATTCAAAAGCTTCAAGTTACAATAGTGCCAAAAGGATGAGGACAGGATCATGTTTGTCGGAACCGAGCTCCACACTCTTTTAAAGCTAGCTGTTCCAACACGGCACCCTTCTCAGATTCTGTATTCTGGGTTTCCATTTTATCCGAGGCTCAAATTTGTGATTTTATGCAGTACATGTTAACATGTAAGACAGCCAATCAGGTGGCTGCTCGCCGTGCCTCTGTGTGGGCAGGTGTGAGAAGAGGCTGGAGAGGCATGGGATTGAATTACCTTCACACCAAGAACGTGGGTGTCTCTTCGAAAGCAGGTTATGCAGCAAGGCAGCTTTTTCTTTAACGTTTCTTGGCACTGGCATCAGAGCGTAGCCCTGCTGTGTCCCCTTGTGCTATCAGGGATAACCTCTGGGATCCCAGCAACCTTGTACTGAATAAGCAGCTAAGGAAGATGGATGGATAGATGACATAATAAATTTTTAAATTATACTTGATGTTTGCTCCAAGCACCTGTGGGTGTCGTCTTGCACCCTTGTCCCTCCTGTCTCTCCCCTACCGTGGTCCTAATGAGCCACGCCTGTTGCTTCTTACCCCTCATTGGTCCTTGTACTTTAGTACCTGTTTGTCTCCTTAGACCCAGCCTAGTCAAGGATGTCAAACCTTCTTGTTACCCCTGCCCTTCCTTGTTCCATTCTTCCCGGTTTTGAACCCTTGTGATCCTGTTTATTTGTACTCTCTGTTCATTGAGTTCAACAAATTTATCTTATGATGAAGATCCTACTTATTAATTAGCAGGGGAAAGATGTTGGTGAATGGATATTCCTTGATTTTTGGTGTTTTTTTTTACCTTGTTATGTCATTCGATTTTGCGTCTAAATGTCAATTTTTGGTCAGTATATATTATGTTGGTTTGTTTGACTCCTTTTGGTATTACACGATGGTATGTTTGGATTTATCGAAAACCCATTTTTTAAAATTTTTGACAGTTTTTAAGAAACGCCCTACCATGCCACAAAACAGGCAAGACTCATCCTGGGATAACTGGGCAATGTACGTCAAACAACGAGCAATGTGCAATTATTCAAAAGAGGTGTTGTAGCACTGTAATGGTAGCCAACAAAAAAAGTTCAGCATCAAAGGCTAATTCTATTAAATTATTAATTTGTCTTGTCAAAGAAAAAAACTGCACATTTGCCACAGTTTGC